CAGTGCTTACACAGACTGTTTGTTCCCCATATGGGAAAGTACTGAAGCTAGCAGCACACAGAAAGCCTGAAATGCTGTTTGACACGTCTTTGTTTGAATTGAGCTGGTTTGGAGGAAAGGAGATTGAGGCCTTAATTTAGTCTGTCTCATCCTTTGGGAAATTAAAGTAGTGCTTGGGAAGATTTTTTGGGGGTAAAAATACAGCAGAGTTACTGAAATCATACATTTTGCACTGCAAAAAAGAGGAGCATTCAATTCCCCCTAATTGAGACTTTACAGACTTTTGCCCAAACGGCCAAAAATGTTGGTGTCGGGTAAGGACAGTGGCAGGAAATGTTCTGTGACCACAGGAAATGGCCGGTCACAGCAGCAAGGGAGCACTCTGTCGAGGGAAAATTGGACTCAACAAACTTAGATCTCCTGCCTTTCCCACCCTGTGGCTGCTATAGCATCACAGGCAGAAATGGTAAACATGAATGTACTACAATGATTTTTACGTTGTCATGTGACATGATTTCCCAGTTTTCAAACCATTTTGTTAACCTTTGCCTCACTTTTCACTGTTGCTATGCTTTACAAGCTTTCCATTCTCGCATAGCACATGATACCGGTGTAAGATTTGTAAATTAAGTAATGTTTGAAATTATTGATTTCAGACAGTCGATTCTTTGGCTGAAATTACAACTTTTGCTAGCAGGTTGATATAAGATATAAACCCTTAATTTACAAAGGTATATAGGAAATCTAGCTCTACATCCTAACTCCCCACAGCCTCTCTGATGCCCAACCTCCCTCTCGCTCCTCTCTATTAATATTTTCACATTTAACTAAGGTTTTATTTTAACTAAACCAGAGCTGGTGATTGTTGGAACAGTAAAAATACAAACCACAATGGCTTGGTGAGTTTTATTTTGTTTCTGTCGAGTTTAAACAAAGTACGATGATCTGCAAGATAAAATAACTGTATTTGTCAATGGAGTCTTGTGGCTTGACAAGAGCGACATAACAGCTATTTCTGGTTAAACAAAAAGGTCCTAGGTTCCTTTCCACAATGTTGTCAGACACTTATTATAACAATCTGAGCCTGTCAAAGGCAAAAACAAGCACTTTTAGTGAACAGACACTGAAGGTGCACTATTGCCTGGAAGGATTACATTGCAGCCATGTTTTGCGGCTACCAGCTGCAGTGCTCTTGCTCAATACTAGACAAATTCAAAAAAACATTGTCCCTTATACACAAAAACATGGGAAAATACGGTCCAGTTTGAAAATAAACAAGGTTTCTCTTTTATGATTCACTGATGAATAGCAAGCATGAATTCTTTATTCATGTTCATTAACATATGGCCGACGGTGCCATTGCCATCTGTCTGTCTTCAGTCCTCAGTGTTACATTTTCACCAGCTGTTGAACTCCACATTGGCCCCAGTGCTTGCCAGTAAAGCCTTTCCTTGTGTCAGCTTTGCTTGGATGATGCAAAGGTCAGTGGGGCATTAAAAGTCACAGTAGAGGGTCAAAACAGTGCAACCACTCAGTCTTATCAAATCTTATAAAACTAGAATTACTATCTATCAGTTCAATTCAATTCAATTCAAATTAGTTTATTGGCATGAATGTGTAACAACAATATTGCCAAAGCATCATACAAACTACAAAAGAACAATCAACCCCATCTATCTATCTATCTATCTATCTATCTATCTATCTATCTATCTATCTATCTATCTATCTATCTATCTATCTATCTATCTATCTATCTATCTATCCAGCTGTCTGTCTGTCTATAAGGCAAAAGATAAATTATCTCTGTTCCTGAAAAATCCTCTTCACTATCAAATGTCTCTCTCCTCCAGTACACCACCACAAAGATGCCAGTAAGATTGGTCATTGGTGGACACACAAGATGTGACAACTTTGTTGCATATGCAAGTCAGCATGTTTGACAGCTGATTAAATCCACCTGGTAAGGACATACACTCTGTCTGTGTTTCATTAGCAACCACCATTCAAGGCTAATTCAGATCAAAGCCTATTCATTCGACCAAGTCTCTCGTTTGTTTGTGTATGTGCACAAACAACCATCGTACCCTGCTAACCGCAAACAGACACACAAAAAAAACACAATAAAACATGCAACAGAGAAAACATGAACTTCACATCTCCAGTCAATGCTGTCAACCCTGTAAATACCCCTAAGCAACCTCCCCCCTCAAAGTCTGCACAGTAGGGCCTCCATGACCCACATGTGTTAAAGACAAATATAACCCGTCGTTACCAAAGCTGCTACCTCGAGAGCAGTCTGTTTCTGCCACAGAGGTGAGAGGAGGGCATGCTTCTTGCTGTGCTGTTGCAAGTTGTTGAAGAGGATGTGAAAGAGGAAGGGCTTCAGAGTGGTCACAGAACTACTCACTCCCTGAGCCATTGCTTCATCTAACATATGCACAAGTCAGGTCTATCATGATTTAATGCTGAAGGGAAACTATCCTTCATTATGGTTTAGATACATAGTCCATGATCAGTCACTACCTACTACAATGGCAGAGAAATAGGTGGATGGATGGAAGTAGGAAGAGAGGAAGGGAGGTGAGGGTGGGAGATATAATGTATCACAAACATCAACAGGATTGCTTCTTGGAGATACAAGTTCCTTTTGCTCCTTTCTGCTGGAATGCCAAATAAACTCGCTGGCTTTCCTGTATGAATCAGTTTTATGAGTCAGTGTCTATTTTGTCTACACACCAATTTAGACGCCATATGTGGCCCCCTTCATGGTCTACAATGCAGTGCTTTTGGTATGATACACTCGTTACCCACTCACTAGCATCGCTGCCCCTCCCTCTCCATTTTCCTCTGCGCCATGTGTCACAGTATGTCTGAGTACAGAGCGGCAGCCCTGTGGAGAAGGGTGAAGATTTCACATTGGCCTCTGACTCATTCTACACATGTTTGACAAACTGTTTTAACTGAATGAAAGATACTGTTGATGTGGCTATCCTTTTGTAATGCAGCAATGTGAAAACAGGGGGATATTTTCTAGAAAAAAACAAGATACAAGATGTTACAAAGTGAGAGGGGGGATCTGAAAATGACACCTGTGATCATAGTCATTTCCCCCAGAGATGTTGTTTGCTCTAGAAAGCTAAGCCAACTCTGCATTTACACCGTCATAAATGTCGTCCTTATTATAGATTCTCTAGGTGAACTAGCCAGTGTCAAGTTTAACAGATGTTAAAGGAGTAAAAATAAAAAAAATAATAAAACAAAATAAAAACACTTCAGTTTCTGTACAGTTTATACAAATTAGATATTAAGTGTTTACTAGTGAGCCTTATAGGTGCTGGTATGAAGATTTTGTTACCCATTTTGCTAGCGGTTTCCCCCTGTTTCCATCTCTTTCCGTCTTTGTGCTAAGCTAAGCTAACAAGCTGCTGGCTGTAACCTCATATTAATTGAGCAGTAATGAGCGTATTCTCATCTAACTGTCTGCCAGAAAAAGCACAGGTTTTTCTCAATATCTCAAACTATTCTGTTTAACGTGCTGCAGTTTCAGTCCTCCTTGTCTCCATCCATTCCTCTCTCTCAAAAAAACAGTATTAGACCTGGGAACAGAAGAGTGCAGCAGCTGACACTGGGAACCTGATCCCTGGGCTTTCCAGCAGCACAGCTTGTGCACTGCAGCCATTCCTGGCACACGGGGGTCATCATATCTTCCCTCCTTGTGCCTTGTTTGCTTTCACATCTCCTTTTACATTAACACATCAGGTGGGGGGAACAAGTTGTGGAGATATGTTTTCTGCCCTCCCTGGCATTTTTTATCAGGCCCTCCCTGTCCTTCCTTGTCATGCTTTCATTCTTATTGTTTGAAATATTTTCTCATTGTCCTTTTCTGATTCCTTTTCCCATTGTTTTATAATGCTGTGATCAGTTGCAGTCAGCAACCCTGCACAACTAGCACCTTAATCCAGACATAATTGAGTTTTCTTCTCTTTTTGGCCAGCTGACAGCCAGACAGGGGGTTGTTGTTTTGGATGGCACATGCAACTGTCATGGCCATCTGTATGTCCTGCTCCAGAATTAGGGAGCCACTGCAAGATTTTGGTCTGACAGAGTGACAGTACAATAAATTCACTTGAATTTTAATCAAGTTAAACCTTACCTTAAAAGTATAACAATTATGCTTTCTAGCTGTTCAACAGCAGTCACTTAAAGAAAAATGGTATTTCAGTTATGTTACAGGCTAACAATGTAGTTAATATACTTTAGACAAAAGATTGTTGTCATTTTCACAGTATGTTTCACAGATTGCAGCAGGCCCACACACTGAAAGGTATGCACTTATTTCCTCTGGTGCATTTTCACTCCAATATCAACATAACTGTACCCCTGGTAACACAGCTGGAGGAGTGTGTCGCTAGTGTAACACATTGGAAATATATCACATTCATCTAGTGATCTAATCCATTTGAAAATGAGTGATGCTGGAAGTTTGTAAAGCTTATTCCAAAAAAAAAACAAACCATTCAGTCAAGAAAAGCACCAATGTATCTTATCATTGTTCAGTAAATTCAAGGCACTTGCAGACCTACTCTGCTTGTGGGATTATATGTGTTGCACATAAATGAAACACATTGATGGAAAATATTAAACAGATCCAGAAACCCCAAAACACCACTGAATGTCATAGCTAATACTATCCACTGCTATGCTACAGAACGTGCTGCTACTACTGCAATTGTATATAAATCTCCAGGGATACCTGCCTAAAATGTAAATTTACCTTAAAGTATCACTCAACTCTTCTAAGACTGGTCCATTCAGCCAGACCATTTGCCTACAGAATCTTCACATTCTGATTACCAAAGTGTGCAGAGATATGTGAATATGGCTCAAGAACAATGGGTACATTGCCACAAAATCACCAAAATATAACAATACAATAATAATCCCTCAGTGGCAAAAACATACTATAAAACTGTACAACCTCAAACAGAGAGACTCACCTTTCAAATAAACAGCCTTGTTGAATCTCACAGCTCTGACGTGTAGCAATGCACAACTATTGTATTCAATCCAGTGACAGGTAGTCATTCAACATCAACAGAAATCCTGTGCTGAGACGAGCTCAAGTTGCACTCCAGCTCAGCTGCTGCTGCTGCTGCTGCTGCTTCTGCTGCGGCTGCGGCTGCTGCTGCTGCTGCTTCTCTCTTGAACTAACTCAGTGTGTGCAGAGTGGATTGAGTTAGCTGAGGCTCAGAGGAGCTGTTACAAACTTTTCCCCTGACTGCTCACACCATCTGCATGCTGAGAAAGTCTCCGCTGTGACAGGATGGCTGTCGCGGTCAGCACAGTCACACATGGGGCACCATTACAGCGAGAGTCCGCCCAGACACATGCACACACACACACACACTCACACACACACAAACACACACTCTATCCCAACACTGCAGCCTATGCAATCCTAAGTCCTCCAGTCATCCTGGCTGGTGAGACGATCACATTCAGTCTGAGAAGACCGTGTGTGTACGTTGGTGACAGAGAGGAGGGAGGAGAGAGGGAGGGGGAAGGCGTGTGAGTGTGTGTGTGTGAGAGAGAGAAAGCATGTTTTAGGAAGTCTCAAGATCTCTGAGCAGCAGTGCAGCTGACTTTCTTTTGTATTTCAGATTCTAGAACAAGCAACTGGCAGTTTTTAAACACCCACTGTGTTCCAGTCTTACCATAAGTTCCAAACTTTGCAGTGGTTCGTAATGTGAAATAGAAATCCTGGATTTCCCATTATCATCTGTGAGTAATCCAGCATACAAACAAGGCTGCCCCAGTTTTAAGGTGTCTTCGAGATGACATATACAAATGACTGCGTGCATGCAGCTCGACAAACATTTATTTAGTGACACTAGCCTCACTTTGGTGCGAGCCCAGCTGTATATACATCAGTGGAAAGTGCATCTTGTTTACATGGGAGTGGTCTAAAATGTCTTCCTATTACATACTCTTGCAGTGGTCCCTGCTAAAGAACTTGTCTGCCTGAGTAAAGGACTATTTTTCTTTTTGTATGTAAGATACACAAACAAATATGTTTAATGTGTGAGACAAATGGCCTTTACACTGTAGCTGCAGTTTCAGCAAATTACTTTTTATAAACTGAGGAATTCTGACATGTACAGTACAATCCAGCTCAATTATTATATCATTGAGCTCCTTATTGACTCCTCACAACCTGCTTAATCTGAAATGAAATATAATATATATTATAGATAATTATAAACCAAAAGCAAATATGGTTTGAAAATATGTGTTGGATTCCCAAAGAACTATATACAAAAAGAAAAGGTGGGACCCAAGTGTACAACACCAACAGGAAGCTTTAGTAAAAGTAACAGTGCAGTTTACTTAAATTTTCCAGATCTAGCGCAATTATGAGATCTTGCTTGAAGTGGAAACACACAGATGACACACCGAGGTAGACTGGCAAAAATCCTCCACAAAGAATGAGAATCTGAGGCAGAAGAAAAAAACAGTCAGGCAAATCTTTGTCAAAGGAAAGAAACCTAACAAACCAAACACTGAGAACTGACGACCTGGCAAAAAAACTGAGTTTAAATGCAGAAGAGCTTGATTACTGGGATGTGCCTCAGGTGCACAGGTGATCATGGGCGGAGAGTCAATTGGCTGACCTGAGACAAGTTGGAAAGCCACACGCACACACACACACACACACACACACACACACACACACACACACAGAAGACAGACAGGGGAACCAAACAGAAACACAAGGGAGGGAGGGAGGCACAGCAGAAGCACAAGGAAACAAAAGGTTGGTTGACATTTCGATGAAGAGGCTTAAGAATGGAAAAAGGAGGTTTATTTTTCATAAATTGTTTTATAAAAGACATGGATAAAAACAAAGCAAAAAGGTGTACTAAGAATCAGAATATTCACCACCAAAAGATTTTTCTATTTTCCTATCTATGATATACTGAAATGGCCAACATGCAGGCTACAATTTATATTATCGCCACACGACAGATACAGAACCTCTACACAATATTAATGTACCTCTGGCACGTGTCAGCTCCGTGTCATTCCCTGGCCCTGGAAAATGTCCTCAATAATGAGGGAGGGAAATTACAATCTATATGGGAGGTGGCTGATATGTCAACAATAATTGCTTCCTCAAAATCAAATCAGGATGAGAATTAGTTTATTTACAAACTCATAATATAGAATATGAGAACAGGGGGAAATCTGACTGGGGTAGTGTTGTGATTATGACTCTAGAAGAGCTGGTTGAGTATAAGGTGACGGAGGAGTTTCACTGCGGTGTTGAATGTGGAGGAGGTAAAGTCAACATTCAAGATCCTGGTTGGTGTTATTGAGTTGTTAGAGGGTCTAGGCTGAACACATTGCTTATTGATCTGTTTGATCTATAGGCACACTGCGCAGTGAGGCAGGAGTGAGGTCGCTGTCACATTTGGACCTTCAATTAGCATCTGTCAAATGATTGATCAAAGAGGCAGCAGCGGTACATGAATCTGTCAAAGCTTCTAACAACCCCTTCTCTGAGGACACAGAACATGATTGGAGTTTGAACCTGTCTGGCACTTACTCTGGTCAATATGCATATTTTCTGCAGCCATCCTTACGAGACTTGCACCCTAAATGCAACTTATTGGATAGCACTGGTTATTCTGACTTTGGTACAAATGCTGTGACCCAGGCTCGCTCATGCGCAGTAACCATTAGGCGTACTTGGTAGAACACATTTTGCTGCAGAGTCTCTCTTTGTTACTTTTTGTTACCCTATATGAAATGTTGTTAAGAAATTTAATGGTATGTCATTAAAATAGTAATTTTTTACACTTATTTGCAGCTGTGCAAACTGAGAATATAGTAAAATCCTTTCCACTCAATAAAATCTAATCTCCACACAGAAGGTGAGTTTTCTAGGCGTTATGAAAAGCCTCATTAGATAAGACGGAGATTAAATGAAATGTTGACACTAAACAACAGTAGGCTCTGAGCCATCTGTCCTCAGCCATCCCTCAGCATGTGTTATTATATTTGAAGGACGTGGAATGCAGAACATGAAACACTGTGACCTTGTGACGTAAGAAGTGGCCATCTGTAAACAAACTGGAGTATTATCTATTCCCAAGAGACACTCTGGGGGATCTTATCTGATAGGAGATAACTCATAAGATTAGAGTGGGTGAATCTTCACAGAGAAAGCCTCTGGGAATTAGAATGTTCTCAATAGGACTGCTGTTCTCATGGCCTTGTAGTCAGAGGTTTTGAACACTTGGTGACTTCTGGAAAGAGTATGAAAATCTTTGGAGGACTGTGGCAGGCAGACAAAGTAAACTCTTTATTATGATTATATGATATAAGGCCATCTAATATTGCTGTATTAATAAGAAGTATTGAGTATGACTCAACAGTCATATTTTGAATGAAAGTCATATTCAACATCTATCAGTAAGTGTTCCTACAGTTAGTGTGAGCATGACCTCTATTGGCATGTGTCCGGTCATGGCAGCAGTTCCTTTTTGCATCATGTCACAAAAACAGTGTTAAACAGTTCTTCAAAGACTCCAGTTCAAAAAGTGCCATCAGGTGACTGCTGCCAAGGAGAACAGTTGCTTCTTACAGGAAAAGAGGCACACATGCTGACAAAGGACAAAAGAGACTCTTTAGATATAAAGACAGTTATTGCCTGACTCTGCTTTTCTGGCACAACTTTCCTGTTTTGGTTCACTCTCACTGCTCCCATCAGCATTTGTTTCGGACACAGCAGGCAGATTCTTTTCAAAAAAGCTCCAAAAACCCATTGTACACTGGCTACTCAGCACCAAACAGTAGCTGGTGAACATAGTGGAGCATTTAGCAGCTAAAGAGGCATACATTTTCCTCAGTGCTGGAGTTGGTAGAGAGCAAAACGGTCATTGAACAGAGTTCGATCATCAGGCTGGCGCAAATGCAACTCCAAATGAATGATGTCTCTCCATTTCTGCTGGATGTGTGTAAATAGACAATGGTTTGCTAACAAATTCCCTGTATCAACGTAAATTAGGTATTTATGTACAGTCTATGGTTTTCATCATACAGTATTTCTGATGCACCCAAGTGGCCAAAATGAGTCACTGCAGTTTTAATATCTAAAGTGTAACTCAAAGTGTCTGATAAAAACCTAAAGTTGGAGGTGCTCTGTTGGCCTATGGAGGACCCATCTCTCTCATTTTCTGTCAGCCTTTTGCTGACCAACTGTCTAATCTCTAAAATCGGAAAAAACATCAAATAAAAAAGTTAAAGGAGAAAAGAGATCATCATCACTCGTGAGAAAGAGTCAGAGTGACAGATTACAATGTTGTTGTTTAATCTTGCTCTTATTTATAGTCTATTCTTTTTACTGCAATAAGTGGAATTTTCAGGGACTGAACTTGATCTTTTCTCGAGAGACAGTAGTGTAAGCTTTCCATCCATCCATGCATCGTCAACCGCTTATCCTGCGTACAGGGTCGCGGGGGGCTGGAGCCAATCCCAGCTGGCATAGGCGAAAGGCGGGGTACACCCTGGACAGGTCGCCAGTCCATCACAGGGCCACACATAGACGAACAACCACTCACGCTCATACTCACACCTAAGGACAATTTAGGGTCACCGATCAACCTAGGCCGCATGTCTTTGGATGGTGGGAGGAAGCCGGAGAACCCACGCAGACATGGGGAGAACATGTAAACTGTAAGCGTTCCACCCACACCAAATCTTTCTTGTATTTGCAATGCAATATTGCTCTCTGGTGGTGACTTCAAAAACCTTTGGATTAGAAATGTAAACAGGCTTGTTCATAGTGTTTATCTTCTTTTCAGCTTTAACGTTCTGCATACACATAAATAATAGTCATAACAAATATTTTATTTTAAAGAAATGATTTGTATTATGAGTGACACTTTGATGGTAGCCTTTAAATAACATTGGATCAATGCTGTAAAATTCTTATCAGCCTTATTATAAAAAGACAGACAAACCCAAATTAATACAATCAAAGTAAAATCTCAAATTGCAGTATTTATCAGAGCTTCAAGACAAACTGAATGGCAAATAAATGCGAAATAACAATGTGACGCAATAACATGAAGGAGCCACCAGAGGTCCATGTGTCACAACAAAAAGGGCACTCAATGATGTGTGCACACATTTCAAAAAACTATTCTGGATGAAATCACTAATGTCACAGCTCCAAAAGAACATTTATTTAGATTGCAAATGCTAAATAAAACATTCTGGGATGTCTGATAATTGTGCAACTAAAGCAC